CGGACTAGGTGCGTTCTACATGGTCTTCCTGAGAACAAGACCAAGTTGCGACAACGAGGTCAACCCACTTTTATCATACTTATTATATATGATTTTTCACTCTTTATCATCCCTTTTCACTTTCTTTACCTGCAGACAATGGTTTGATCTTATCGCAACTGAAATACAGAAAAATTTGGATCTGGAAATGGTTTCAACACAGGTTTCCTCATCCAACTGCACAATTGCTCTGTTGGACAGATTGTCGAAACTTATTTTGGTCCATGCTATCAGGTCATGCTCTTTGGGTCAGCTGCCTGCCTCTGAGGCGGAAAGACTCTATCCAGGATTGCAAAAATGTGTAGATGGACTTCATCAAGGTATATCTGACTATCGGATCGAGCTGGAATCTCAACTCGATTCATCAACATGTGATCGGGCATTTTTCCGAACCCTTCTAGACTTTCGTGGTCGTCTTCTTTCTTGGCTTCATTTGTTCGCTTTTCAACCCCTTGGTAGGCCTGGAATCGATTGGCAAGCTCGGCTTGAGTTCCATCATTCGCGTGCTGGATTCGATCTTATGGCCTTTCGAACATCTGCTTCAGAAAGACATTTTTTCTCCCGTTTACATGCCCGCCTTTCACGACCATTGCCTATTACCACTTGTCAATTAAGACAACTTAGTCTTATTCCAACTCACATTCCTTCGATGATCTTAGCTCAATTTTCTGATTTAGCCTGCTTTATCAAAGATGCCATTTCCAAGAGAGAAGATCTTATGTCTCATGCCACCCAGGTTGAAAACCTGGACAACGATAGAAGTACTGGTATGGTTCAAAATTTTGACCTTTCTCCTGATCAAGTCAAAAATGATTCCGCCTATGAGGCCGATCAACTATCTCAGATTATCTTAGCTCCTTTGGTTGGACTTATTATTTCGCATCTTTGGAATAGGTATGTTTAACTTTACTTATACATTCTATTATTTGCCTCTAAATTATTTTATTTATTTCACCTGCATATACCATTTTTTTAGGAATTTCCTTACTATTGTTCAGTCATTCCACACTAGTCCATACTTGGTCCTTTCATATCAGATTAAATTTTAATTCGAAGATATGAAGTCCAAGATGGTATGCCCTTTTGTAT